GTCCATTGCCCACCCTTCGTATGAGGTGGGCAATCTGCTGGCATTGCCTGCGAAGCATTTGCACGGTGAAGGATGCCTTGCCGTTGGACTGAATATGTAGGCCGAGTACCCTGAGTCTGTCGACTGTGGGTATCTTCTCTCCATTTAGATTTAAACAAATTTAATCTGCTTTAGTGCAAGGTTTGCTTCTAATGAGTAGTAGCTCAGACTTGTCGGCGGCGCAAGTTAGTCCTGCTGCTTCTGCAACCTTCTGAGTGATTTCGACCGCCTCCTGAAGTCCATCCTGTATCTCACCATCCGAACCCTTGCTTGTCCAGATGGTGATGTCGTCTGCATACAGAGCATGCCTGACGTTAGGGATGGCCCCCAGCAGGGTCGGGAGACTTGAAATGGCTATATTAAAAAGAGTCGGCGAAAGGACGGAACCCTGTGGCGTTCCCCTCCCCGAGAGCTTGATGGGCTGGGAGCGAAGATCTCCCAGCCCTTGAGTAGCGGTCCTGTCCGTCAGAAACGCACGGACATAGTCGTAAGTTCTTTTGCCGCAGTGTGCTCTGGTCAAGCCCTCGAGAATGGCGTCGTGAGACACGTTGTCAAAAGCTCCTCTAAGGTCCAGTGCGAGTACCGCTCTCGTCTGCGTTCTTCCAGGAAAGTCTAGGATGTCTTCTTTGAGCTGTAGGAGGACGTCCTGTGCTGACAGATTTTGTCGAAACCCGAACATTGTGTCCCCAAGAAATCCGTTAGCTTCGAGATGGGATTGAAGGCGTCTGAGAACTATGTGTTCCAGAAGCTTACCTATACACGATGTTAGTGAAATGGGACGAAGGTTTTCTAGCGTGAGAGCCTTCCTAGGTTTCGGGATGAAGGTGATCTCGGCGTGTTTCCATTCCGGTGGGAGGACACCGGTACTCCATACCCTGTTAAAGTATGATGTGAGGGCCGAAACGGAGGCATCGTCCAGATTCCTGAGAATCCTGTACGTGACTCCGTCCTCTCCGGGAGCGCTATTGCGGGTTAGGCCAGTGAGTGTTCCCCTAACTTCGTATTCAGATATGTCCTGATCCAGCGGATGGTCTGCTTCTTCGTGGGGATATGGGCGGTAGTTTGGTCTGGGGCCGGATGCGATGTAATGTTCCTTTAGGAACTCCCACAAGGCGTTCTCCCCGTTGTGTGCCGTTTGATGAACAAGTTTTATTATAGCCTTGTTGGTTTCGGTCCTAGTCTTTGTGGGGTCAAGCAGACTCTTGAGCAGACTCCAGGTCTGCCTGGTTCCTAGGGTACCTTGTAGTTTGTCCCATAGTTTATGCCAATTAGATTGGGTGAGCTTCTCTGCATAACGCTCGGCTTCTTGGGTAATTTTGGCTATGCAAATTTTTAGTTTCCGATTATGTTTCTGTCTTCTCCATCTTTTAGTTAGGCCACGACGGGCTTCCCATAGATGGAGAAGATGCGGGTCAACGACGGGCGCCTTGTCCGTCGTCTGAACTGTCTTGGTTACTCTGTGAATGTCGGCGTGGAGTTTTCTTACCCATTGTGCCAATGGCACGTTTTCATCTATCTCTTCGGCGTTTGTCTGAGCCCTGAGCTGGTGGAACGAGTCCCAGTTGACCAACCGCAGGGCCTTCTTGTGTCTACGATGAGCCTGCACTGGAACTTGAATTTGAATGATAAAATGATCGCTGCCCAGACTCTCCTGGAGGTTGGTCCACGTGCACGGGCCTCTCGCTCTGGCGAGGGAGAGGTCCGGGCACGTGTCGCGGCTCGCGCTGTTTCCTACCCTCGTGGGCTGATCCGGCTCGTTGAGGAGCGTAAGCTGATCTATGGCCGTGGCTAGTTTTCGTCCCTTCACCGACTCTTGATAATATCCCCATGCCGGGTGGGCCGCCTTCAGATCCCCTACTATGAGAAGCGTATTCTCGCTCGGTTTGGTTAAGGCGATAGCGTCTCTAAAAATAGCGTCAAAGGTGTCTTTTCTCGCCCTCGGTGAACTGTACAAATTAAGGACGAAAAGACTGCTCTGTCCGCTTTTCTGCGGGAGCAACTCGAGAAAGACATATGGTATGCCAGTGACCCTTTCTAACTGATGTGGAACGAACGGTAGATGTTTGGCTACGAGAGTGGCTACCCTCGGAGGTACGCCCTCGTGTTCTGGTTTTGAAGCACAAGTCACGTATCCCGAGAGTGCCGGTGTACACGCGGTTTCCTGCATTGCGATAACTTCGGGTTTTTCGTCGAGTGTGGCGAGGAACTGCGTGAGCGCCCCGCGCTTGCGCCGATAGCCCCTGCAGTTCCACTGCCAAACGCGTATGTTACTCGGTGGGCGTTTGCGGAGGACCAGGTGGTCCGCCGCTCTGACCCTGTTACTGTCCCGTTCCATTGTGTTGTTCCTGAGTAAAGTTCTGGGGATGGTTCTGGGATAAGCTTAAGTGCGTAACTGGGGGAGACCCTGTTCCGGACGAGCGGTGTCCCGCTGCCTTGAGGCTCTTTACCCCGAGCCTGTGTCGAGGCATCGCAGAGAGAATGCCTCGAACCAGCTCAGGGAGTTGGACTCTATTTTCCTTAAGGATTTGTCTACGGGCGTTATCCATGCCAGTTTGCATGTCCCCTTTGAGTGTAGTGATCATGTGATCCAGTTCCTTGCTAATACCAAGTCTGGCCTCGGCGATCTGTTTGGCTACTTCGCGTTTAAGTTCTTCGCTGAGACCGAGTGGCTCAAGTCTAGATTTTTTAAGCTCCTCCCTAGATCTCTGCATCTCCTCCCTAATCATGTGGAGTTCATCTCGATAGCTCTGCATTTCCGCCCTGAGTTCACGCCTCAAGGTATCCAGGAAGGAAGTGTCGGTGGCACAAGGATTGCTTTCAATGAACGTGTGCTGAGTGTTTTGTTTGTGTGTGTGGTGTTGTGTCCTAACGCTGGATCTAGGAGCGGGAGAAGGGGTGCATGCGGGGAATTGGGAGGGAGTGGGAGGCTGCTGCCCTGTCCAGCTCACCTTCGGGGCCTCTGGACCGGGGCTCCTTGATTTTCGGGTTTCAGCTTCCTGCGCCGACCGTTGTTGCTGCATCCTCCGTCTCGGCCGGGATCGGGCTCGGCTGCGGGAGCGAGATCTCGCCTTGGATCTGCTCCGGGCCCGCTTGGATCCGGAGCGGGTGTCTGTACCTTGAGGGCCCGTCGACGTTGGGCTGCTGTCGAGTGCTTCAGAGGCCAGCAGAGCGTACGGGTTTTGGTTCGCCCATCTTCTCGTTGGTAGTCGTGGCCACTGCTCCTCGGGGAGTACAGCCTGGGTCGCTTGCCCGGGTTGAAGCGGTGAAGCCACGTGCTGGGGCCGTTGACTTCCCTGCTGATGGCGGCCATGTTGTTGTTGCTGCAGGTACTTCTGAACGCGTGACTTGTTGTACGGAGCTCGCTGCCTTGCGGGGCATCGAGGGTCCGTAGCCGGGTGAGCCTCGCAACAATTCACGCACTTCGCTTCGCATTCGTGCGAATCCAAGGCACTGCCTTCAGTTCCACACTTCGGGCATCGTTGCTTTTCAGGTTGAAAGCACACGTCCTCTCGGTGTCCTAGTCCTAGGCACTTAGTGCAGACTTGTTTTTTGGGTCTGTAGACCCTGCACTCAAATTCGCCGCCATCGATATACACTAGGCGGGGAACCCTGAGTCCGTGAAAAGTGATGATGGCTGAGGTCGTACTACCCATCATTCGAGCGTTCAGGACTATGTAGTGTGTGTTCCGTGCGTTGAGTTCTTCAGTGAGCCACTCGGACGAGGGCCGAGATGTGAGGCCCGAGATGACCCCCTTACAGGAGTCGTCCGGCATGGCGGCGTAAGGTTTTACTCGGAACTGCTTTTCTCCGAGTGCGATGGAGGAGATATTGCAAAGCCGCTCCAACGTGTCGACACTTGGAGTGCTCACAACGGCCAAGTTCTGGTCCTTACGGAGCCTCGTCTTGATTTCCGCAGTCTTATAAGACGTATCGGATACGTCTTATAAGTTATACCTAGGATTCCGTGTTTTCGATGCTTATTGTTTGTTTGTTTGTTTTTTTTTTTTTTTCAAATCCAAGCAAGTGCTGTTGTTGTTTTGTTTATTTGTTTGTTTTGGGGGAGAGGGGGGTTGTATTGAACAGATTCGTTGTTTTTTGTGTAAATTGGATATAACTTAACCAATTTACAGAAAACGCCGAATTCGTGGGGAAAAATAAACACAAAAAAAACACCCCGAGTTCGAAAAATTAATATAAACGCCGAAAACGCGGAATTCCAGTTATGCCCTAATGACACGGGCACACTTAACTGCAGTTAGACCTAACCATATTTACCACACTCAGTGACAAGTTAAGAGTACGGGGGAAGCTCTTCCCACCTCTTTCCACTTCAGCAAAGCGAACGCTAGAGAGGAGGTCGCCTCTTCTCCCTCGTTTTCTCTAATATATTTACCTGGCATGCCATTGGACCTGGTAACCAGTAGATTTGTTGTCTATGATAGGGTAGGACAAAGTATAGCGCAATCATTGACAACTTAAAAATAATGATTAAAACATTGACATAAGCCTTTACCATCAAAATCTATAGGGAATTGGTGTGTCGAGGGACGTATTCTTTTCCGCTAAATCTAGCGGGAAAACTGAATGGTCGTATAGGTCACGTGACGCCGATTTTTCCCGCTAAATTTAGCGTCAAAACTATTTTTACTACTTCTATTTTACGACACAACGTCTGGCACAACACGTCAGCAGCGCTCCAGCAGCACCCATCACGACAAGCAACCAACGAAGGTACCAGCCGTGCCTGCACCAAAGCATTCAAAGTTACAGACAACAAAAGAAAAGACTCGTAAAGATAAGCGGCACAAAGACGCCATTGCCGCAGCTCTCCTCGAAAACCCAGCAAAGAGCAACAGGCTTGCCATCCTCTCCCAACTCGGGAAAGGAGGAAACGGACGGAGGGAGGGGACGGACTCGCACGGGTCTCTCGGCCGACGGGAGGGCGTTCGCAGACGGGAGCGTGGCTTTGGCGGTTCTGTGTGTTTCGGCGCGGGTTGCCGCAGTTGCCGCGGGGACGTCGGCCTTTTGCATCCCTCGTAGGAATGGTGACGACGCCGTGTGACTTCTTCTTCGTCGTCGTGGTCGCCGCTCACGATCGTGCTGTTTCGTGGCTGTGAAGAGATCGCGACGCGATGACACTGGCTCTGGATTACGTTCGACCACGCGCGCTGTTGTCGTCGTCGGCTGAAGTCCGTGTGTGATCCGTCTGGGAAGCGGTCAACAGCGTCGACGACGGAAACAGGTGTGTGTGTGTGTGTGTACGCATGTTTGGGGGAGCTCTTTTGGGAAGGCTACGAGGGGGGTGCGCTGTGGAATTCGGGGAAAGGGAGGGGAGGGGTGTTGGGGGGCGCGACCGTGGTAGTACGTACGCGTTTGTGCGTTCGCGCCCTTGTGTACGTTTGGTCTGCGAAACGTGCGAGTTTGGGAGGCAGGTTGCCCGCTGTTTATACCGTGTACTCGACCGGCAGTGAGCGGTAGTACGCCAGTTTGCCGCGATACAGTTGCGGACATAATAAACTAGAAGGCGCTAGTTATTTTCCCCTCCGTAACAATGACCGAAGCATGCATTTGTGTGTGTGTGTGTGTGTGTGTGTGTGTGTGTGTGTGTGTTTGAGAAAGAGATATATGGAGATATCTCCTCTCAGCACACTCTTATGACACAAAGAGGGGTCGTGCGTTCCAGGCCTTATTGTCCGCAATTGCGCTCGCGGTGGCAGGTGTGAGTAATTGCCCTAAAGGAGTTGCTGATCGCCTGCAGCTGTTTAATATGACATTGTTTCGTCCCTATTACTTCGTTAATTTGAGCTTTCTGACTTGGTTAATTGCTGACGGATGATGCCGTCTGGAGCGAAGCGTGCACGTTCCACAGTTTTCCAAGTCGTGCTCTACAGTGGAGTTTATTGACGGAAGCCGATTCGGTCGGCGCAAATTTGATAGATTGCCTATTCGTTTCACTGTTCTTTTAATTTGTTTTTTGGTACTGGGTTTGCGAGCTAATTATTCCTTATGCTAGTATTTCACATTTTTCTTTTACTGATTCTATGTCAACGAGTGCAGTAGTTGTATGGTTTCTTCCTATAATTACATCAGACTGCCTACTCCTAGATGGTGATCTATTTAAGTTATCAACATCGTGTGTCTTATTTAAATAAGGAAAGTGTACATTCTATTAATTATTATGGCTCATGCAGTGTTTTCCTACAGTAAACGACCGGCAATTCATGTAATGCGTATCATACGCCATTCTTATTAAAAAATATACCACGAAAAATAATATTTTTTGCTAAACACGTGTTTAGTAAGAGTCGCAATGTTGTTATGGAAGCACAATACCAAGAACATACAATGACTGATCAAAATCTTCGCAACGCCTAGATATGCTCTTTTTTATTTTATATACAGATGCGAAGTTGCAAAAAGTACCCGTCAACCAAAGAGTGCTTGGCGTTCATGGGCTTGGTTGAGATGTTATTCACCAGAAAAATATAGCGCATATTTCTTTCCTTTTGCGAACATCCAGCCATCAAAAGGAAACAGGCTATATTTATTGTATTGTGTTTGCCAGTCTTCTTTTGTAAAATCTAACCTTTGCGTTGCTGTGTTTTTTTTTTTTTTTTCGTTTTGTTTTTTGCGGAGGGGAGGGGGTGAGTAGATTTGAGGGGACTTCTGCGTTTATTCATATTTATCTTGCAGTGATATCACTCAATCGCGTAGAATTGAAAACAAAAGAAAAACACGGGAAGAGAAAAATATCGTCGCAAAAAGCGAAGCAGTACAACACCTAACGAATGTCCTCTAATTACGGAAATGGGATAATAACGTATGCATTTTTCGCTGTTTCGACGTTGTAAATTGATGCTCAGCGCATAATTTTATCATTTTTTTTAACAACTTGAGAGAACCCTAGTTTTAATAGCACCGACAGTTACCAGTCGAAACGCGGGATAAACTATTTATTGTCTTCTAAACCTCGGCCTTATGTTAGGAATCAGCTTAGGATTTTCCCTCGTACAAGTTACGGATCATGTAGATCGCTCTGTTTTAATCATGACCCAGGAAGGCCATGCAGTGTTACTTATTCGCTTATCTATGAAGGTTTTGTAGGTGCCATTAAACGGCTGAAGACGCCCTCCCGTCCTCATCCTGCCAGCGTCTGTAGTCTACAATTGGGCACATGCAAGCACGCTAGTCAGCACTCCCGAATCCACTGCTCTAGTTAGATCCAACTGAAGGTAGCTCTCAGCTTCATAATTGACACAACACCATTCTCTCGATTTCCAATCTGTCGCCACTGTATACGTTCACTCCAATATCGCCACTGGCTGCGCCGCTTCCAAACAATATGCTCTTCGCTGTCAGAGCCAAAAAAAGATTCACAAAGGCATACAGACTGTAAACCTCAAGTCACGGCGCACTTTCTGCGCCTGGTTGGATGAGCCGACATATAGATACGTACGCGAAAACGGCATGACATTGCCCTTTCAAGGAGGCTTCATTCAACACCGCCTAGAAGGCAAGGCCTGAGCGTGACGTCATCGCTAGTGGATTCCCCACCTGCTCCGAGTGGCAAGCAGGCCAAAAGCTCTACCAGAGTCGCCGCAGAGCGGCAGCCTTCGGGTCGTGACGACGGCTGCTTTCGGACCTAAGCTGAACCGAAGTATATAGTGTCTCGATGATAAATTGATTAGTCCAATCCAAGCGCGCGCAGCGGATGACTGAGGAAACTTGGACGCGCGCGGGTCTTCCAAGTTCACTGGCCACGAGGGAACACGACGGGGGACCCCAGAGCGCGGAGCGAACAAAGCGTCCCCTATGTTGACGAGGAAACGGCTGCGCGTACACCACGTGACAGCTTTTCCTCCGAGAGTCGATAACCCGACTCGTGCAAACAATAGCCGCCACACTTTCCCACGGAGCAGCTGTAGGACATTCGACGCGAGCACGCCCGACGACCGAACGTCTAAAGGTGATCCCAACTGGCAGTAGGTCCCTGTGCAATGGTACTTTCACACAACGAGGCGAGTTTCCAAAAGCGCGTGTAGGTGGTGTCCTAAAAATACATCTTCGAAATTGGCGTTGGGAAAGTGAATGAGGAAAATGATAAAATGTTTCTTCTTTTTTTTTCTTTTTTTTTAGGAAAAATTGCATAATGTCAGCAAGTTTGAGACTACTAAAACCGCAGTCCCACTTATGGAAGACAGTCTGCAGATAGTCTGAGGCGTGCTCTTTCCTGTTTCACTGTACTGCCCCATTGGTCATAGAAATACTGTCTGCATATGTGGTCGAAGCATACACATGCGTGAAGCGAACGTTCTTCGAACACACTTCAGGCGTGTGCGCATATAATTTTTACATCACACAATAGACTGTCTACAAACACGAGTCCCCGTAATATGCGTGGTTCGAATTCGGTGTGCCAACTTTTCTTCTTGAACTCATTGCAACACGGCATTCGAAACACAATGACTCGCGTTTGAATCTGTATGCAGACTGGCTTTTGTATCATGTATAAGCGGTGGGACCCTGGCTTTAGTCTCTTCTCTCATCAGCTGTGAACAAAGCCGTTGTGGTCACGCATACACAACTTGATCCTCGCCTTAAAGTGTCGCGTAAACCGGCATGAAAGGGTCATCGAATTATTTCAGTGCTGATTATGTTTATCACGAGGAAATCGACAGTTTTATCAGATACGATCGCGAAGTGCGAGATATGGAAGCCACCATTGTGCTCCCGCCTGCGTGCAATTGCGACTCGCGCGTATCTGTGCCCGCGTGTTCAGGTTAGATTCTAAGGTTCGGTCGCTTGCCAAACTCTTCTGATAAGACAGGCGCGTTTTACGTGCCGGTCATATCGGTAACTTGTCGGGTCGAAATCTTGTTGCAAGTGGCCTTTTTTCTGCGTGTTTAAACGCGAGATGTCCGGTCACCATGTCGGGGAGGAGACCCAACCGTCGCGCCCCTAGCGACAAAGTTGAGAACTAGAGTCGTGAGGAACGCAAAAGCGTGAAGTATTTGTATATGTTCCTGAGACAGCGGTTGACCGTCGTAACTGAGGGCAGCGTCACCATTCGACCGGGGGCTCGTGTTCAGACAGTGAAACACATGTCCGCAGACAGTTTTTTTACGACAGATCTGACACCTATAGTTTGATACCCTTGACAATAGGGACCTTCCGGTTAGTACTATATTCTACAACAGCTCTTCGATTCTCAAAGGCCTTCACGTTTACTATCTGTGCCCGAATGCTCCGACTGATCTTGAGTAACTAGATTATGGGTACAACGCTGAGTTAAGAAGTCACGGCGTGGGACGCTCCGCATTCTCAAAGTGACGAGGTTGTTGGCGACGACTCAGCGAGCTCGTACACATACACGGAGCTGCGGACAAGTCAAGGAAATTGTTAACGTTCAACATTAACTTTCACTTTACCCGAACACGGCAAAGTGAAACACAATTGAAAACACATTAGGCTGTATCTATTTATACACCCGCGTGCGAGGCAACGTTTCCGTAAAAATGCATTTTGTTTTCTTATATTTTTGATTTTGTGATAGTGCGTTGCGAGCTAGCACCTATTATACCAGCGTCCAACGTTTCAATATTATTTATTTTTAGTCTTTCATATAGGTAAGCAGGTGACCCACAGGTAGGTTTTGCTTACTTTGTTGACTTGACGAGCATACCCAGAAATAGAGACGTCTACCCAACTACCCGACAACGAAAAAAAAAAAAAATCGGGATGGCGTTTGTGCGTCGTAGTCGTCGTCATAAAACGTTTCGCAGCCGCTCAGAGACGGTGGAATGCTCTGCTCGGTTCGTTCTTTCTCGTTTTGTTTTTTATCTTTATCACCATGCGCGTTTGAGGGCTTCGTTGCTGTTCGTCTCGCGGATGGCCCGAGGCGTGCGGCGCGGCGCGATCCTTTGGATGATGGTCGAGGACCGTGACGATATTCCGACTCGAGGCCTTCCCTGTCGCTCACCTCAAAGAGGTCGAGCAGCTCTAGTGACAGCGTACCATATTGCCAGGAAGGAACGCGCTAAGGGGAAAACCCATTTCGGCACATGTGAACCCGATTTTCAAACTGCGCCGATGCTTTCAATTGCACTAGGTTTCGGTAGGCATCTACGCGTTACTCAAATAAAGTAACTAAACACTGTTAGTCGTTAATCACACTGAAAGTAACTAAATACGTTAATCTTACTGCGCTTCAAAAGCAACCCGTTA